CACATACGTACACACATATGCTGGACCCTAACCATGTTTGTCCAAACACCTAATCTCCAAAGAGCTTTAGCCTTGGTGTTTGCTTTGATGTGGATGTCTGTGTTTGTCTAATCTGGGTAAACCAGCTGGGAAAGGAATGGTATTGCTTTCTGGCCTACTAAGGTTTGGCTTGAGGTAGTGACTTGAATATAGTTTTGCCATTTGGATGTTGATCCTTGTATAAACTGAAAGTTTTCCACCTGATTTTCTCCATATCTTTGGGGACTGGGTACTAAAGCAGGCTCTAGCAGGAGAATGCCCTGGCCTTGCACAGTCTACTGGTGACTAAAACTGAGGACACTGCCCTGCTGGTCAGTACACCTGGCCAGTTGCACCACACCATCATTTACTGTGTCTTTAGACAGCTTATAACTTAAAGGGGTAAATAAGACATGAGTAGAAGTGAAAAATATTGTATCATCATCATCATCATTATCATAATCATCATTTTAGATCCAGATTCCACATATGAGTGAAAACAGGTGATAACTAGGCTTTTTAAGGTTGGCTTATCTCATTCAACATGATGATCTCCATTTCCATCCATTTTCCTGCAAATGGCATAATTTCATTCTTCTTTATGGCTGAATTATACTCCATGGTATATAAACCACATTTTCTATATTCATCTGATTCCATACTTTAGGTGTACAGGTAAATTTCTTGTATATTTATTTACACTCCTTTGGATATATGTCCAAGAGTGGTATAGCAAGATCATAAGGCAAATCTAGTTTTAGTTTTTTGGTGAGCCTCCATGCTGATTTCCATCATGATTGTACTAATTTACATTCCCACCAACAGTGTATGGGAGTTCCTTTTACCTCAAGCCCTTGCCAGCATTTGTTGTTGTTTGTTTTCTTAATGATGGCCATTCTGACTGGGGTGGGATGGAATCTCAGTGTAGTTCTGATTTACATTTCCTTTATAGCTAAGGATGTTGAATATTTCTTCATGTATTTATTAGCCATATTAGCCATTGGTACTTCTGAGAAATGTCTGTTCCATTCACTTGTCCACTTATTAATTGGATTATTTATTCTTTTGATATTTAATTTGGTATCTTTTGGTATTTAATTTTTGTGCTGTTTGTATATTCTGGATATTAATCCTTTATTTATTGAATACCTGGTAAAGATTTTCTCCCATTCTGTGGGTTGTCTATTGATTCTGGAATTGTATCCTTTGATGTGCAGAAGCTTTTGAATTCAATGCAATCCCATTTGTCTATTCTTGCTCTCATTTCCTGAACAATTGGAATCCTATTGAGAAAATAATTGCCTGTATCTTCCAGTGTTTTCCCTATTTTTTTCCTGTAGTAGTTTCAGTGTTCTAGGTCTTACATTAAGATCTTTGATCTGTTTTGAGTTGATTTTTGTATAGGGTGAGAGATAGGGGTCTAGTTTCAGTCTTCTGCATGTAGATAATCACTTTTCTCAGCACCATTTGTTGAACAGGCTGCCTTTTTTCCAATGCATGTTTTTGGTCCACTTCAAAAGTCAGATGGCTGTAGCTGTTTGGGTTTCTATTCCATTGGTCTGTGCATCTGTTTTTGTGCCAGTACTATGTGGTTTGGTTACTATGTCTCTGTAGTATTATTTGAGGTCTGGTGATACCTCTAGCATTGTTTTTTTTTTTAAGTGGGACTAGGGTTTGAATTCAGGACTTTGTGCTTGCAAAGCAGATGCTCTTCCACTTGAGCCACATGTCCAGTCCATTTTGCTCTGATTATTTTGAAGATGGAGGTCCCATGAACTATTTGTCTGGGCTGGCTTGAACTGTGATCCTCCTAATCTCATCCTCGTAAATAGCTAGGGTTAAGGTGTGAGCCACTGGTGCTCAGCTAGCATTGCTTGTTTTGTTCTGGGTTGTTTTAGCTATTCAGGGTCTTTTATGTTTCCATATGAATTTTAGGAATGATTTTTCTATTTATGCAAGAATTCCATTGAGCTTTTTATGGGTATATCATTGCATCTATAGATTGCTTTTGGTAGTAAAGTCATTTTCACAATATTAATTCTGTTCAATTTGTGAACATGGGCACTCTTTCAATTTTCTGGCATCATTTTCAATTTTTTTCTGCAAGGCTTTATTATTTTCATTGTGGAGGTCTTTCACCTCAGTTTATTCTAGATATTTTTTGAGGCTATTGTGAATAAAATTGTTTCCCTAATTTCTTTCTCAGACTGCTCATTATTGATAAATAGAAAAGTGATTTTTGAATGTTGATTTTATATTCTGCTACATTGCCAAAAGTATTTATCAGCTTTAGATGTTTTTTAGTCTTTTCAGTATAGGATCGTATTATCTATGAATAGGGATAATTTGACTTCCATCCTGATTTAAGTCCCTTTTATTTCTTTCTTTTGCCTTATCACTCTGGCTCATTTCCCAGGTAAAGAAACTTGAGCAGAATTTTACCAGGGTTAACAAATGAATCAGTTGGTGGCAGAAATAATAAACTCAGGAGTCCTCTTTGTCAGTATTGTATTCTGAGTACTAAATCCATTTGAAATATTATGGTCTCAAGGAAAACAATCTGCTTTCCACAGATGATAATGCTGTTAGTGATGGTGATTATTACAATCATAATTATTATAACTATGTTAAAAATACAATTTCAAGTCCTTTATATGGGTTCATCTACTTGTGCCTCATAAACCTTCTATTACAGGCTATGATTGAAGAAGATACAATTGTCTCCATGTTACAGATGGTAGAATATGATAGAATATGCATCACTTGACTTCTGTGATGGGTCTAGCTTAGAGACCATTTGTATTTCCCTTGCTATGGAGCATTGCTGGGGGATATGGCAACTGCTCAGGAATTCCTCTGTTTCACTGAGCACTTGGAGCAGGTGAATATTTCTCACAGTGCCAGGCCACAGAATTGTTATAGGGATATATGGTCTTTTTCTCATATAAAATTGAAATATGCTTGGCCACTAGTTGTTAATTTGGGGATTAGCATTATAGTTGTTTATCTTTTGGTGTGAGCAATACAAGATGTTCAGTTGTTTGAATTTTATATCAATAAAAAACCAATGCTTTAGTAGAAGCATGTTCCAAATATTGCAAGGAACATCTTATAACAAAAATTATTTATTATTCATCTGAAATTCAAATCCACTTGAGCATCCTATACTTTTGACTGCTAAATCTGATAACACTGCTTAGTGTTCATTAAATAATATATTTAAAAGAAGTCCTGAAAAGTCCAGGCTATTGGTTCCTTCTTAAATACTATAATGTGAACCGTGAAGAAATTAAAATATTCTAATATCATCTAACCTCAACCTATGTTCTATCCCAAGCTCAAAGCACCTACTCTTTCTTTATGAAAGGAGCTAACATTGCTTTCAATAAGTCAAGCAGAAGTTTACTAGCAATTTGACTCAATATACCTTGAGTCCAATTTCCTTCTGGCTCTAAAATTCTTTAATTCTCAAAAATCTAAACCAGGTTTCTACTGTTCCCAGTTAGTATTCCCATCCTGCATGAGAAGGTAAGATAGGAAATTCTTCACAAGTACAATAGGTGATACCCTGGTTCAGTGTGTTGCTAAGACTTCAAGAAATCTAGGTATTGGTGGTTGTTATATGGTGGGTATAGAGTAAAATTCTTCCTGTTGTTCTAGTATCAGCAACACATCTTTCCAAACTTTAGCCACTGTGTTGTCAACCTATGAGCTAAAAGCTTCTCTACTCTTTTAGTTAATAACATTCTTTCTGCTAAATACCATGATATAAACTTGGTCAGGGACGGGACTAATTCATTTCCATACCCTCAGCTCTAAAGTGAAATAAAATAATACTCAATCCACATTTACAGACTCCTTCTTAGGGTCCTAACACATTTGCTCCTCTTTTTCTGTTCCTTATACAACTCACATGATAGAAATCTCAGATTCATCTTTGCTTCTCCCTCCAGTCTCATCTGGATCTCACAAGTGAGCAAGCCATATGGATTATGATCTCTGTAGTGTCTTTTGAGTCTTTCTCTCTGTAGTTGTTTGGCTTTTTTTTTTTTTTTTTGTCTCTGTTCCCATTTCTATTCTGGTTAGTGGCCTACTGACTCACCCATGTGAGACTACAAATTCCTCTCCTTAACACAGACCTGATCATGGTGACATTTTGCCTGAAGCTCCCTGATGAGTCCTTGATCTCTACTGAATACTATCCTTTCGTCTTGGCGTGAATTCACAAACTAGTCACTACCTGGTTTCTGTACTCATTTCCCATTTCTCACCACCCACCAGGCCACTTACCTGAACTAGATGTATCGTGTACATTTTTGCAAAGTCTTTGTTCATATTTTACTTCACTTGAGATATCTTTATTTTTTCTGTTTATCAAAATCTTATTTCTAGCTTACCTGCATAAGAATTCCTGCATAGATTTACTGTCAAAGACCCCGCTCATCTTTAACTTAAGAAAGTCCAATTCTGGAACAAAAAAGTCCATGATGTTTTTTCAAAGTGTGCACAACAAAGTTTCTTTAAATAATTAAACCCTGGGTATTTTAAAATATAATTCTATATACAGCAATGTGTTTTCGGGAATAGACTTGTATTAGTAACAAAAAAATTGGAGGGGGTGGGTGCAGTCCTGGAGTTGAGCTCAGGGCCTCGTGCTTGCTAGGCAAGCACTTTACCACTTAAGCCACATCCCCAACCCCTGAAAAAACTGCTTTAATATACATCTGCCTTCTGTTTAGAGGGCAGGTAGGCCTGGACAGTGCTCATCATCCAGAGGCAATGATAGCTAGGCTGGAAGAATGAGTAAGTAGCACAGGAATATGTTGAAGCTGTACAGTTCATTTGTCCTTGAATGAGTTTTGGATTTCTCTGGATTCCCTTTGGTGTGAAAAGCAACGAAAAGGGATGAGGAGAGTGAGAGGCTATGGGTGCAGGAGAGAGAGCATTTGGCAGCTAATGATGAAAGCCTGCATGCTTTTCAGAACATCGAGCTGAAGGTTGAAGTGGAGAGCCTGAAACGAGAACTTCAGGACAAGAGACAGCATCTGGATAAAACATGGTAAGTTGTTGCTGGAGCTATACAGGGTAGAGTTGGAACATACCAGCTCTGTTTCTTTTCTAGAGGCTGGCTCACATCTGAGAGTAAGAACTTTGGAACCAAAGTCCTTAACCTTCTCTCTGGCATTTGATTGTGGTATCCAATTCAGGAACAGAAACAATGGATTTTCATATACTTTCTTTCCCTTGAACTCTCTGACTAACTAGGTCAGATAGATCTTGATAAATTTATCAGACTTGTTTATGAACTTCCTGTTAAGTAGTAATGAACTAATCCACTTTTAGTTGAAAGAGACAAATGCAAATAAGGTTTATCAGATTATCAATCAGTCTAATAACATCAAAGGCTGACATAATGTTTGGGAAAATAGAAACTCCTACATGCTTCTGGAAAGAGAGAATATTTTGGGTATGTGGTGCTATCTTTAAAAGTAAAAAAAAGGATTTCCTTTGCTCAGTTAATCCTTAGAAGTATTCCCTTCTTCATAAATAGAGACACTGGTGTGAAAAGATAAGTGTATAAACATTATACACTTTATTATTATTTATATTGGCAAAAAGTAGAAACAGCTATCTATTGCTAGGGCAGTAGTTAAAGCCAGTTCAGTGAAATCATCCTAAGAGCTTTTATGCAGTTATTAAAATAATAAGTCATCTCTATATTATTCCCTTGGTGGGAAGTCCTTGATAAGCTAAGGAAGGGGGAAAGGAGCTAAGTGATATCTTTGGATGATGACACTCTTTTCTGTGTGTTGTGTTTGCTTGATTGACTATACATAGGAAAATAAATGGGAAAGTTGCCACCAAACTCTTTAAAATTGCTTACTTTAGGGAACAAGGTCAGAGTTTGTGATAGGAAGAAGACTTGATTTTTTTACTTTATATACATTTGTATGGTTACTTATAGCCAGGCAAGGTGGTGCACACTTGTAATTTCAGTGTGTGGAAGGCTGAGGCTGCAGGGTGGAGAGATGGAGGCCAGTCTGGGCTACTTAGTAAGACCCTGTCTCCAAAAAAAGTTACTCTTATAATTTATAGTTTTTATCATTTTTCAGGTTGTTATTGAAATATTTTTGGGTTATATTCTAAGATTGGTCTATGTTCAGCCTGATCTGGTATTCCTTCCATGTCTATAGATTTTTTTGATATTTAGAATGACATCTAATAAGATCCAAATACTCAAAACCACACTCAATTATATACAATATATTGACATTATTAAATACTAAGGTATTAAGTGAACTAATAGATTTTAGAAATACTTATAACAACTGAGTAATAAATTTTGAGATTTATGTAATGCTTTAAATTTTTTTATGTCATCTTAATTTTAATTTAGGGGGCATAATACTATTTTGAAAAATGAGAAAACTAGGTTACAGAGAGTTGAATTGTGTCAGGTTAGTGGTAGAACCATCTTCTGGCAATAAGTTCAAGGACCTTCTGATTTCGTGACAGCCGAAGCCTCTTAAATCAGGCATCCCTGGCTGTTGTTGCTCAGCAAATGCCTAGCCTTCATCCTTTGGAGATCTTTGTCAGTGGTTGTCTATTGCATTTATCAGGGAATATGGAGTCAGAGTGAGAGTTGATGATTCCTGAGATCTGCCTGTTTGGGTTATTTCCTTTACTTTTGTCCTCTGTACAGCCAAGAATTTTACACTCCCCGAAGGCTGTATAATGACAAGGGAATGAGAGATAAAGATAGCATCTAGGACAGTGCTGAGAAGTATCCACTGTCAACCAAGGAATCCTGTAATCTTTCAGAAAGCCCAATTTGGTCTTCACGGACACAGCCTCCTGAGCCAAATATGAATGTGCTGCTGAGTTTTGTACTTTGTGAGCCTCTAAAGGCTCAATATTATTCTTCATTCAGAGAACACGATGTCGCATGGTTCTCAACCAACGGCTTAAAACAGGAGTAAAATCCAACCGGAATTCAGACTGCTCAGCACCTGATACTGCCCCAAAACTTCTAATCCTCAGATATCCAAGGGCAGCTGTTGTCCTCTATAAATAAACTGGTGATACCTTCTCTGCTTCATGTTTGCGCCTAGACATTCATTCTTAGGGAAATCAGAGAAGCAAAGCTCAACCCAAACCTTGAGCTTCCACAGATGAAATGTCTGTTCTCTGCATGGGACCATGGAAAACTGGCTAGAAGTTATTTCACAGGCAGCCCATGCTCACAGCACTCTATTACGTCTTCCTGGCTATAAAGGGCAGTGCAATTCTGTGGCTGTCCACTTGGCTATCCTGTCCCAGCAACTTAAATGGAACACTTTGAGCTCAGACAGCAAGAAAGGCAGGGCGCTAGCAAGGCTCTTTAGGGACGCAGTCTCAGTGGGAGAGGCTAGGGACAGATGACAGTGACCATGGCTGCTGACTGGCAGCCTTCCAAATTGACATGCCTCCTCTTGAAGTTATAGCAGTAATGAAGCATCTAGGGAGGCAGCCATATCTTGCTTGATGAGCAACCAAGAAACATCACTTGAAAAAGCTGGGCAGGGCAGTTCCACAGGTCAGTGCAGAAGACAAAATGCTTGGCCTGAATTACTTTCAACTGCTGGAAAGACCTCAGCATGTCTGCTTGTGAAGTTCTTGTCTAATTCTGCCTAATGGTCTGTGGTTGTAGGGCTGATGTGGAGAATCTCAACAGCCACAATGAAGCTGAGCTCTGGCACCAGAATGAGGAGCGACAGCAGGAGACAAAGCATGTCTATGAGCTTTTGGAGAACAAGATCCAGCTCCTGCAGGAGGTGGGGTTCTCTATTGTCTCATTGTCCAGGTTCCTGCTTCCCTGCCTTCTGGCTTTCCCCTTTTCCTTGTCTACTTTCCTTCTCCAACCCATCAAGGGTCACTTTGTCATAGACCTCCTAACCTCCGTGGGACTACACAGTCTCTCAGCTGTCCTTCTTTTTCCAGGAATCCAGGCTAGCAAAGAATGAAGCCGCACGGATGGCAGCTCTGGTGGAAGCAGAGAAAGAGTGTAACCTGGAGCTCTCAGTGAAGCTGAAGGACATCACCAAGGACAGGGATGAGGTACCAGGAGAGCAGATGGAGCCTGGATACATTGAGTCCCTAGCCCAGAGGGACAAGTAAGTGCCTTTGGTGCTTTTTTGCTTTGTAGAACTGGGGTTTGAACTCAAGGTTCCACACTTGCACAATAGGCACTCTTCCACTTGAGTCGCACTTCCAGTCCATTTTGCTGTACTAATTTTGGAGACTGGGTCTTGAGAACTATGGGCCCAGGCTGGCCTCGAACCATAATTCTCCCCATCTCAGCCTCCCAAGTATCTAGGCTTATAGGTTGAGCCACTGGTACCTGGTTTGGTGCTCTTTTTTTGGTGCTGTCTTTTGTCTGTGCTCCAAGCTATGAGAATGTAGAATAGTCACATTTCCCCATTTGAAGGATTGATCATGGGACCTTCACCAATTCCAAGACTTTATGGCCCCACAACCAAAGATTTTCTTTTTAGAGTTGAGTCTTGATAGTATCAGTTAAGAAAACTCACCTCTTGTTGAATGGTGGCAAGCAACAGATTGATTCTTGTCTTTGCTTCAGGAGAATAGAAGAACTGAAACAGAGCCTGGTTGCCCACGAGAGGCTGGTGGAACAGCTATCTCAAGAGAAGCAGCAACTGCTGCATCTGCTGGAGGAGCCAGCTAGTATGGAAGTGCAGGTGAGGTTTGGGCTGTGCATCCTGGGCTTCGTGTTTTGTCAGCTCTGCCTCATATTATTATAGGCATAGAAGTTTAAAATCACACAGACTTAGCATGTCAGTTTCTGTGGGTCAGGAATCCAGACATGGCTTAGTTGGTTTCCTATTGTAGATTGGGTTTTCTTATCTGGCACCACATCAAGGAAAGGACCTGCTCTCCCTCAGGTTGTTAGCAAAATTTATTTCTCTGTGGTCATAGAAGCTATAGAGCTTGCTTCTTCACAGCTAGAAGTGGAGAAGAGACTGTTACGTCTCTAATTTCTAGATCCTCTTTAAAGGGGCTCACCTGATGAGGTCAGGCCCACGTGCATATGGTCCCTTTTAGTTAACTTAAAGTCAACTAATTAGGAATATTAATTATATTTGAAAAATCTCATTTTGGGCCTATCACATAGCTCAACTGTGCAATGACATTCCATCACCTTTGCCATACTCTATTGGTTAGAAGCACATTATGGGTCTTGCCCTGTAACCCTTTCAAAGGGTGGGAGTTATACCAAGTTGTGAATACCAGGTGTAGGGAATTATGGGGAACATCCTAGAACCTTGCCAACCACATGGAGTGATTTATAACTATGTGGAACAGAGAATGCAGTTTTAATATTGAAGAAAGAACCTTACTGTGTGAAAATAATCATGGTGATTTCCTTCTGTATTGTTGCTCTTGGAAGTTACATAGGGACCTTCCCCACTCCATTTAGCTCCTAATTTACCAAAAACATGCTTTCTAAATGAACCCTAGAATATATCTGCACTTAAGCAACATAAACAATTCTTACATCCTACGTTGGTTTTAAACCAATACTAAGACAAAAGGTGTGGTTTAATATATTGGCTTACATAGACAGAGGTTGCAGCCAAGATAAAGGAGCAGTGATAATTTGTTTAAGCACATGCTTCCTAGTCTTTTCTATGTCATGGCACATGTATTTGATACTGTTTGTAAGGCATAGAGATCAATACATGAAGCTTCTCACTTAGAGTCTGGATTCTTTAGGCCACAATGAGGAAGGAAATCACTGTCTTGGCCTCATTTGTAAAGTTTTGAGACTATGGATTCATTGTGGTTAACAAACTCAAGAAGTGATATGTGTCCATGTAATTTAACAGATATGAATAAATATTAAAGTTCAGAGCCAGCCATGGTGGTACACACCTGTAATAACAGTACTCAGGAGATTGAGCAGGAGGATCAAGAGTGCAAGGCCAACCTGGGCTACATAGTGAGACCTCAAAGAACCAAAAAATGATTAAGTTCATGGGCTTTTTGCAAACTACATGGTAAAAATATGTAAAGTTTCTTAGTGGACTCTTAAAAAGATAACATATTTAACTAAAAAAAAACTTGACTTGGAATAAGAACTGGATTTCTATTTGCTGTATCAGTACAGATATGGTACTTTTCCTCTTCCATTTGTGTGAAAGTGGAAGGCTATCCCAAGCAGTGTCTAAAGTTTATAATGCTAACATCCTATTACAATGACTCCAGCAAAATTGGGAATATTATATAATACCTAAAGGTGAGTATTTTGAAAGAATAAACACTCTCATTTTATACTTATTGACACATAAATACTGATATATTTATGTACATATACTTATTTTCATCATTATCTTTGGTAAGCATTGAAGCAAGTATATATAATTTAGTATATGTAATGCAAATGAGGGGAATTGGTTTGATATCAGTTTTCAGAATAGTTTTAATGAACAGAAATATTACCATTTCAAAAGGACTAAATTACTTATGTCTATTCTAAAGGAGTGTTTAGGTCAAGGGTAAGTACAACATGCAGAGGATAATATTGTATGACAATATATTGGACAGAAAAAAAGAATGCATTAAGTTATATAAATTGTGCTAAATTGATATGCTTTGGTATTGTTGCCTGGTGTGTGTACAAAATTATTATTATTACCCAACTCATGCTACATTTAGAAACATGATCACATTGTGCTATTAATTCTGTAATACAGTATTTCCTAGTCTTTTCATTTTACAGAAAATTTATTCTTGTAGGACATGACTGTACAGAAATAGGTGACCTGAGAGCTGATGGGGTAGACATCTCTGCACGATGGCAGGCCACCTTGGAGCAAACTGTGGTAGAACCCCCAGGTTGGAATGCTCTAGTGCAGTGGCCTCTGAGAGTGGCTCCTCCCAGTTGTGAAGGACAGAAAGTCTGTCAGGGCTCATTTTCTAGTTTCTCACTTTGAGTCAATGTCATATGGGAAAAAACAATCAGGTCTGGCAGTATATGTAGCGTTGTTTTTAAATTACCATTTCTAAAATAGCTAAAGTAGCCTAGACAGACAATGCAGTCTTTCAGCAACTATCTAGATAGTTCTAGATAGTCCTCCCAACTGTGTGTTCAGATTCCAAAGCAAAGAATATGTTTTGGTCACTTTGATTCTGTTTTATACTGTGTGGTCTAAACAGAATAAAACACTGAAGTGTGATATCTGTTATCTTGGGAACTTTTAGCCAGACATATGCGGTTCAGATTGACTTATGGAAGGATACAGTCAAGTCCAAGTTCAGAGAAGGAATCTTGACCCTTCCATACTGATTCTAATGCAAAGTTCCCTGACTTTTAACTAAGGAAACATAATGATATAACATAATGAGCTTAGGTTTTAAATTTTTTTATTCATATTTGCATACAATGTTTGGGTCATTTTTCCTCCCTTCCCCCACCCCCTCCCTTACCCCTACCCCAGGTTTTAAATTTTGAATGCCAGCACCACCAATTTTTAGATGTATGGCCTTGGACAAGTACAGTTTCTTTTTCTGTCTAATAGGGATAGAAAAACCTAGTGTTCAGCTATTTATAAGGGTTAGAAATAACATACAAAATGCCTTGCATATTGCTCAAAGCATGGTAACTACTATTTAATTATCCATATTAGCAGTCTGACAGAGAGGAAGGCTATTCTTAAAATGGGTAGTGTGTATATAAAATACAATGAGTCATATACTGCAAGCTTCATTCACATTGTAACTTGCAAAACAAAGAAAAAATGATAAACATAGCAATGTGTATTACTAATAATTCTCCCTCTGGACCTCCTGGCTTTGCATGTAGAAAACTATTTTAAAGGCAAAGACTAAATTCAAAGTGCCCAGTTTATGTTATTGCTCTTTAGAAGAACCCTGTGTATGAATGTTTCAGGTGACAATGATTATTATATCTATTTACTGGACAAAAAGAAATGCTGAAGCACTTTCTGTAACATCTTGGGAACATTTAGTAATAAATAGTTCAGAACCTAGAAGTGACTAGAGATAGAATTTCTTAAATATACATCCAAGTGTAATTTAAAATATTTATCAATGAATATCCACCTTTCGGTAGTAGTAACACCAGCTCATATTGTAGTATTTTCTATGTGCCAGGTGCTACTCTAAATACTTTACACATACATACATATATATGTATATTAACTCAAATTGATAGAACCCTCAAAACAATTGTGGGGTAGATATGAGACATACAAAGAGTTTACTGGGAGGCTGAGACAGGGAGGATCATGGTTTGAGGCCAGCCTGGGCAAAAAAAGTTTGTGAGATCCCTTCTCAACTGAAAAAAGCTGGACCTGGTTGTGTGCTTCCATCATCCCAACTATAGTTGGAAGCACAAAATAGGAGGATCATGGTCCAGGTCAGTCTGGACAAAACAGACTCTATAATCAAAATAACCAGTGCAAAAAAGTCTGGATGTGTGACTTAAGTAGTAGAACATCTGCCTAACAAGCATGTGAAGACCTGAGTTCAAACCTCAGTGCAACAAAAAAAAAATAGCTTAACTTGTTGTAATAAAATAATATTTATTTTCATATACAAATCCTGGAACAAAACAATTTAAGAAGACATTAAGAAACAAGGGCTTACACTTGCACCAAACATCACTGTGAATGTTACAGCTTCGAATGCATTGTGATCCAGGTTTGCTGTTTTGGCAATTGTAAAGCAGCCAGTGGCTATGCTGTAAGTAATGAGCAAGTGGCAAAATTTCAAACAAGATCCACTCTTCCCTTAACTTACAGAGTAACTTAATTCATGGAAAAATCAGTATGTATGAACATATGTTCATGTACACACCACAATTAAGCTTTAGGTTCAGATGATCATAAAGTTTATTACTCCATTCCATCAATGCCCAGTGGGACACTAGAAAGTCATTTGAAATTTGGGACAATGCTGTCTCCTGCCCACTGCAAGTTATGTTGTATCACTGTGACAGCAAAATCAGTAACAGTGTCCCTCCCCTCAAATTTCCAAAATGCACTCTGGGGATTGTATAGCAAGCTCTCTGTTCTAGGGGGTCCTAGCTTTTAAATGGCTCATAGTCTAGTTGATACTTTGACATGTAATGGTGTAATAAATGAGGACTGGAATATATACATGGTACTAAAGAGATTCACAGACAAGAGGGATTAATTCTATCTTTGGTAATCAGCTTTTAGCTGAGTGTTAAAGGGTGAGTACACCAGCAGGAAAATCTGAGGTCATTCTAGGCAGGAGGAATGATTAATATGTTAAAATTTAACATATTAAGAAGAAAGTTAAGGAATTAAGAGTAATTGGTGCTACCAAACACTTGATAACTGCTGGAGAATGATGTAGTAGCCAGAAAGTTCCATAAATGGCATGCTAAGTATTTATGGTAGTCAAGGGAGAATTAAAAAAAAGAAAAATAAAAGCACATGATTTTACAAAGGCAATCCTGGTGGTTGTGAAAAGATTGCTTAAAGAGAAGATAATTGATATATCACTTCTTATGAGAGCAAATTGGGTTTAACATGATTATTAGCTGCTTTACCATGTCCATTCTGTGAACTAGATAGGTAAATTTTATTAGAAAGTCTCTCTCCATATGGCAGTGTATAGCAAACACTCATATCTGTGACACTTAAGCTGTAGGTGTCATACTGTCTGCTAACAGTAACAGTGTCTTGGT